AACCTCACCATCCGTAGTTTCAACAGAGGGTCGCTTACGTGCAAACTCTATTTGCGACTTCGAGATCTTTCGCTTGCCATATTTATACCTCTTTGGACCCATAGCTGCGAGGATGGCCTTTCTAGTTATGAAAACACGCACAGCTATCCGCCTGACATCCCACCCCGAGAAACAAAACCACTCCATAGAGTAATATAGTAAACGTAAAGAGAGGACACAGGAGCCGATTCGCGGCCCAGATAGTGCGTTTCATACCCTCCGCTACGTGGCGCTTTTCTGCAATTTGGTTAAAATTAATTAAAACTCTTTCTGTGAAAAGTATTTATTTTTTAAATGGTAATGCTTTAAAATTGTTTAAAGTACTTAAAACCACCAAATAGTTTAAAGTCACGTACGTCACAAAAACCACGTGATGAATGGCGCCTGCCATGGCCTGCCTGCCTGCACGCCGTCGCCTCTACATCATTCTGCATGGCCTCTGCTCGTCCCTGCGTCGTTTGCCTGTGTCGTTCGTGCCGTACATCTGTGCTTTCTGCTGCATCATGTTCGGTCGACTTTGCATCAACCAAGGTGACGCATGACCGCCCGCGTGCTCGCATGCTCGGCGAGAATTCGTGGAGCCGATTAGTTCGAGCTTCTCGCGTTGTTGTTTCTGCCGGGCTGTCTGGCTGCACTTGAACGTGTGTGCAAGTAGATTTTCGATGAGATTGTTTTAAAAAAAGAATTTAACTTATGACCCTGCACACGACATTGTCCATGGTTTACAGATGACGGTGTTGAACGAACCTCTAACATTGCAGGTAGAGCCTTGGTTGTTACGCTGTCTGAAATTTCCAGGAGGTGCATTTAGCCCCTTGCAGACACTGCTGTGCACACTCCAACGTCTTCTGTTTAACGCAGTCTCCTTATTTCTCGAATTCGGGAGCTTAAAGGGGCGGTGCAACGATATTCAATTGGAATGTTTTTCACTTTACACGAGCTTAATGGCACTAGTGGGACTCAAGGATATTCGCACGCAACGCCACTGACCAAGAAATTCCTTTGTTGCGCTGTAATTTCGAGGACAAAACCCAGTGTTTTCATTCAATCTCTCCTTCGAAAAACCCAATGACGTAGCTGGGCGGTAGCAGTACCGCCCAGTGACGATATTTGAATACTTGGACCCGAGCATGGCGTGGACATTCGATTTGGGCTCGTGATAATCGATAGCTCGAGAAACATTCGGGTAGTGTCCTGTGTCCAATCGCTGCAATGACGACAACAGCCGAGCCATAACAATGTTTGGAACTCGGCGCGTGTCCTGTGCCTTGCCAACCCCAGCGCATGGCTATGATCAACATTGGCGGCATATAATCGGCTCCAGATCACGGGGCCGCTTGTTCTGGCTGCGAGTTGAGGGGGTGAACTATGCTTGTTTTTCTTTATTTTTTTCTGCGAGTTCGATTGCGTGTGGCGAAAACGAACGGGTATTTTACAGACCATTAACGTCGGGGATTCGTTCTAAGCGGTATTTGCGCAAAATACAAATATCAGTGCATCGCCCCTTAAGACTGTTTGCTTCACAGTAAAGGCTGTGGTCTGTGGTTAGGGGGCTTCAAACGTAAGCTTGGTGTGTGTGGTGATATGCCATTTTTTGAAGTTGACAACGAACACGTTTACTTTGTCTTTGATGTTCCGCACCTTCCCAAAACAACCAAGAGCAATCTCCTGATTATAATGCAATTAAATGCAAAGGTGCAAGCGAGCTGGACAAGCATGACCTGGCCCACACACTTTGCATTGGAAATGAGGTCATTGAGTGGTCTTCTATTGTTGAACTTTATTGTTCTATCCATGAGATGACCTTGCAATTGGCTCCGAAAGTTACTGAGAGACACATTTTTTCAAGAACTTTTCGGTAACATGGAAGAAAATTGTGCCCCACAGGTACTGAGTGCCTCACTCTTTCTTGGCTGGCTGCCTTTCATTTCATTCAGCAACTAGAAAATCACTTTCTTCCCACAATAAAGAGTGTGACACATGTTCGAGGAGTGTGTGACGCCTTGTATAGCACACTTTGAGGTCTGGATGGTTTTAGCCTTTGCCCAGAGGAGTACCACAAAGGGTTTTTAAAATTGTTTTGCAGAATACGCTTGTGTTGACATGTTTGATTTCATAACCGGAATTCGGACAAAGTTCGGTTGCACTCTTCAGTGGCTTGTAAGAACGAGACAGGTTTAACTGTTAATAGTGTATTAACAGAGGTGGTTGCCAAACCAAAAACAAAAAGTGCTTATTAAGTGGGCGGTGCAGCTTGCTCTCCAAATATTTGTTTCCCCTTTTTCCAGCGAATGTGTATCACGGCTCCCTAACAAAAATAGCTGTCCACTTTCTACAAAATTTCGATAGAACATAGTTTATGGAGGCTAAAAATATTTGAAAGAAAATGTATCCACTTTTGTATCCACTGTCCATAGTTTTTTAGCCGCTTTTTTCTGAAGCCATATTTCTTTTCTGAACAATTTCGGGGAATGTTTAGGGACGTTGAATCTTTTCAGATTTCCAATAGAGTTCTCATTGTTTGGTAATGGCTCGCCCGCAGTGAGTTTGAGGCTATGCAAATTGGTGTTTTTTTTATATTTGCCGGAAATCGGGAATTTGTACTATCCGGCGTGTGCTTCGCACTGTTATTAGGCTGGTAATTATAGCGATGACTTATTTATTTTTGCACTTACTTCCGGTACCCGAGTCGGCGTCAAAGTGAATGTATCATACAGCGATACAGCATGTTCTGCGTGGAAAGGTTTTGTTAACTTGGTTCCACTAAGAATCTATTACGAAGTGTACGATATGCCGAAGTCCTTCATACTCATTTATTTTTTGTGAGTATCGATCTCTTTCGTATAAAACATACAGAGCTTCTAAAGTAAATCATGTATACATGAATGTGGTCCAATAAAATGTGTTCGAGCCACTTACTGTTGTTGACCCCAAAATGCTCCACCAGCCAGGAGTCAATGCGGCGATTGTGTAACTTCAAGCCTTACAATAGAAAAAGAACAAGAAATATATATACTTCTGCTTTGTGAAGTAAGTTGAAATATTGTTTGACACATTTTGCACGGACTTTACCGTAAAAAATGAAGCAAAAGTGCGTCAGTATTAAAAAAAAGAACTAAAAGAAACAGCGGGTTCAGGAGTCATGGAGCTTCCGAGAGCCGAGCGAGGCGGGGAGGAAAGAGAGAGAGAAGGGTACCGGAGAACCGGAGCAGAAACGCCCAAACCAAAACCGAAACTAACTTTACCGGAAACGGAATCAGATTATACTTAATACCGCCCGCTAGGAGCGCTAATTGTCACTGGTCTATCTGGGCCGCTGGGGCCTATGGCAGTGTCCGCTCTTTACCTTGTGTATATTACTCTATGACCACTCTGCCTAGACGGGTCTTGCCGTCTCTGGACCACCACAAGCGCGTTACTGAAGAGCGCATGCGCGCGGAGTAATACAAAATCAGAGCAGCGTGCGTGGCGAAATGGTGGCGCCCTCACGCGGCGCTCGTCGAACTAGTCTTGACCGTCCAAACGAGGAAAACAAGCCACAACACCTTGGTTGAGTTTTTTCGATGTAGTTAAAGAACGGATGTACTTACAGCTATAATTTTAATATAATTGAATTCCGTGTTAAATTCCGCAGATATCCCACCAGACACATTTGTAGTTAAAAATTCACAGGTTTTTAAAAACGCGTTTAACGTAAACATGTCAAAACAGCCAATTCCGACCGATTTCACGATTTAATATAAAATATAATAAATTTTTTTATGAAAAATATGCTCGGTGGGATAGTTGGACGAAGAATCAATCTTTTTATAGCAAAAAAGTTTGAAAAAATCGGTGTAACGGTTATTAAATGAGAATTTTCGTAAAATGGCAGAAAATCGCGTGTATTCTCTATGGGGCTTGGAGGAGCGCTCCCTCTAAATCGGAAAATAATTTTGATGTAGCCCACTCGGCAATAACCACTGGGCAGTCACCGACTCTACCAAAACCGAAAAGGTTATTTTCTGCAATGAAATGGATCGTATCTGGCCCGACCCTCGAGAGGTCATTTCTGGTTGGGCTACCTAAACCCCTCTATAGCAACGCCACAAACCTGGCGATGACGTACTCTATCGGCACTAGCGTATGCCACTGAACGTACAATACTTAAAGGGCAACTCCACTTCATTTTTGATATTTAGAAAACTATGTAGCCCTCTTCAGTATCATATAGGAAGACCCCATGTCAAATATTACGATCTAATACCGTCTATATATTTAATAAACTGGCCAGCGAACCTTCAAGCGAGCCAAGTCGCCGAAATCTGTCAACTCTAGCGTGCGGCGCGAGGCGCAATCATCAGCGCAGTCAATGCCACGGAGTTGGAGCGGCCAACGTTGAACCACTACGTCAGAGGCATGCATACTTCATTCTCACGTTTTGCTTGTTTTTACTTTTCAGAGCGAAATTTAGCGATGACGTCATGAGTTTCTCCTCCCGGTGTTGGCTGACCGGGCGTTCACATGATCACCGCTGCCCTGCGCGCTTATCGGTTTGTTTCTCCACTCCCCTTCTCCTCTTTCGTCTTCTACCCTTCCGCCTCTCCCCCGGGCCATCACCGTCCACGCCATGCAAAGCAACCTGCCCGTGTCCAAAAAAAAAAAAAAAAAAAAAAAGGACCTGCTTGCGTTGCGTGTCCTGTTTCTCGCTCCCGCCCGAACGTCACAAGACCACGTGGTTCGACGTGAGGTGCCCATGACTGTGACGACCCGAAACCAATGTTGCCTGACGCAACCGAAGTTTCGGTTTCGGTATCTGCTGATGTTTAAATTAGGATTACACAAATATTATTCCACATTTCGCGAATCCGAAGACGTAGAGTTGTTGAGTATTACTTTGTGAATGTGAATCACATGGAAGCCTAAATTTTTCGGAATTGAGCGGAGTTGCCCTTTAATAAATTAATGTTGATGTCCAACTTTACAATTGCTCGATTGATCACGAGTGTTAGGGTAATTGAAATGTAATAGAGATAGCTAATGCTTAAAAAATACTTCCTTTAACTATGCTTAATGACTAGCGTGCTCTTTCCTTAGTTCGAGCTCTTCCAGAACCATGGATCGGAGCTTGCAGTGGCGTACCTAGGTGTAGTCGGTGACGAGTGTGAAGTCTTCGTTGTGAACCGCGACATGTCCGTTTGTGTGTCGAAATATTTGGAGGAGTAAACGGTCCGTTTCTGTTTTCGAAACACTTTTTATGACAGGAAGCTTCCATTTTCCATCGAGGGGGCGCTGTTGGGCGTGCCGCAAGTTCCGTCGACTATTACTCTTTGGGTCACGGGCGGTAGAGCACGTTTGCCGACGGCAGAGCGCACGTTCTGCGGCCTCCGACACCGGCCGCTGCGACGATTTGGTGGTTACTCGAGTGACTGCACCAACAACAAATGCGAGCGTGTTAGCTGGTTAGATTATCGGTTACTTTGACAGCAGCTCTTGCGTGCGAAATTCTTAAGGCGTGCCTTGGAAGAAGCTCAGGCTCTACGCTACTCTCTACCAACACGGAGACGTCGCCCAATCCGTCGGCGCTATGCGAGATGCAAATGAACCTGTTGCGGCCAATCGCGACTTCTCGTCTGCGACAAGAGCCTCTCGACACCCGTCGTTCGTGTGCCCGAGCGTCGTCCCAAGATAAGACGTTCGTCCACGCACCGTGGTTGTGACCGTCGAGCAACGGGGATTTTGTTCGACGATAACTTTGTGTTCCTTCTCGGTGCCGCTTTGATTGCGGAGGTTGCGGCATTTGTACATTGTTTTTGTACCAGGATGAGGAGCGCCACGTCTGCGACGTACGGGCGCGGTAGTCGGAAGAGCGACGGGAAATGCATTTACGGAGTCAACACCGATGCGGGTCCTTCCAGACTTGCCGCGCAGCTACCCGAGCCCTCTGGCAAGGGCTGCGTGCTAACGAGACGGTGACGAGGTTGGCAGTGCCTGCCGAATGAATGGGGCTGGTATCGCTCGATCGGGACTTGCCGGCGCGCCGATGACGAGTGGAACGACGCAAGGGTTCGGCCAACGCGGAGGTTGAGCATGGGCGGTGGCCGGGGGAACGGGGCCCTCCCCTGAAATCCAGTCGACCCCAGAATATACACGCGCAATATCCCCCCCCCCCCCCATACCTGGCTCCCCCGGTCGTGGACATTCCTGCCGTCTAGAGGCGCCCCCCAAAAAATATTTCCAGCTAAGCCACTGACGCAGGGTTTAAAATCCGAAATCTAGGGTGGCAGTAGAAAGCATTGTTTTTCAACCGCACAGTCTCCTCTCCGCGGGCCTCGAGGAAAAAGTTCCCGTACACCTTGTCTGCTCGAGAACACTCGCCAAATGTCTCCGTCGTAAGGCTGCCGACCCACGGTTACTCGGTGCAAGCGCACGCTAAGTCGAGGCCTCGAGGTCATGGCATTTCGCTCTCGACGACGGAAGCCGAGCGTCCGGACGTCGCGGCCCGCTCGAAATTCGAACGGTCGCGAATTCTTTTTATCGGAACTAAATGCTTGCACGAGCGTCGGCCTCAAACCTCAAATCACTCGCCGCTTCGGCAGATTTGATTTGATCCGAGAAAGCGCATTCCCTCCGGCTATCTGCGTCGTCCGTTCCATTATGACGCCTCCGTCCAGCGTGTTTGGCGTCCCGTTCCGCCTGCCCCGTGCTCTCAAAATGGCAACAAACAACGTTGGAAAAGTGGGAGTGACGTCCCGGCAGTTGGTCGTACGAGTTGCGGCAAAAGGTGGGAGCGAGCACTGGTGGAGCGTTGAGCCGGAGAGCAACCTGCAGCAGAACAGGCATTCATCCACCAGGACCGCAGCCAGTGACAACGTGACCCCCGTATTGCACGACGGAAACAGCGGGAGCACTTTTTCGGACGAGGTGTATGCGCCGTTTGGAGACGGGGCCAGTGCCGTCGAGAGCAGGCGCCTCCGCCTCGGACGCTGCAGCGTCCAATCGGCAGCTCGGGCTGCTACACCCGGCGCAACGTCGAAAACACGAGCAGGTTCAGCGGGCGTCGTCCTTGGAGCCGGGCGGCTGCCGGTGGGTGGAGACGGCGCCGCAACGCTTGTCCCAGCACACGACGAGGCGCGCCATGGGACGCGCGTTGGGGTGCCCGTGGGGCCCCATGCGGGCACCCTGCTTCCAGCTGGAGCGGAAGGACGCCTGGCGGCGGCGGAGGCGGCCCCCCGCCGTGGCGTCCGTCTTGGGCGGGAACCGGCCGTACAGGTACGTCAGCACCTGCGTCGCGCCGTTTTACAAACGATCGTTCCACCTTTCGCATTCGGTTCTTTTGGTCGTCGATGCTCGCGCACTGCCCGTTTTCAATGCGTATATTTATTTATCTATTGAGATTCCCTCGAAGCCCAGAGGCATTACGGAGGACAGAAAACAAATGATGGCATATAAACGAGTCTATCGCAGAACTTTGGAGCAAATTACTGGGCAATTGTTTTACGTGTGAAATGTTCCGGTATCGCTCTGGAAAGTTAGTGAGCCTGGCGCCTACGCTTGTGGCATTCTCGTTGGATAACTCAATGCGTGGCATGTAAACTTGATAGCAGTTCCTAGAATGAAGATGCTGGCACTAGTCAAAATTTTTCTTTTTTTTTGCCTAGTTTTCTGGTCACATGACCTCCCTCATCAGGCAATCTGCATCCAGCTTCGTGGCTTCACAATTATCTCGGTTTCACTTTCGGGCTTTATCGAAATCTGAACACCCGTCTCACTAGACGAGGAATGTTTAACGTTAAAAATGCGGTAAAATCATGAGCGGTCGAGGATTAACAAAAATGGTTGGTTATTCTCAATTTTAAACAAATCGACCGACGATAATGATGGTAAAGATGTGAGAAGGCGGTTCCATTCGGAGGACATCTCGGAAATGGTAGAGTCGCGTTAAGCTTGCCTCCGACCTTGAATTGACAGTCTATGCGATGCTAAATATACGGAGTAGGAAGAAGCTTATCTTTTAGAGCAGGGTTAGAGTGACGTTGACGTCATATTTTGGGACGAGAGGAAGGGAGAGCTTAGCTTTTGGCAAACTGGACAGTGTTGATACAATGATAATCGAAAAAGCAAAATGCGCGCCGTGGTTTTGGATAGCCTCAAGGTTTGACACAAGCATGGTGTGACTGGGTTTCCAGATTGATGCAGTGCATCCCAATTTAGAATGTTGAACGAGCGACTAGCGCAGCTCTCGACCTTGTTTTCGTGGGCGTGTCTGCATAAATGGAGTGTTATAAACCCAGAGGCCGACTCTAGAATTGGCCGTAGAAATCGACTGATTTTGTCAGTGGTAGAAATGTGTCCTTTAGCGCGACACTTTACTTTGTGAAATTTCGAAGCGTAGCTCCCGTCTCGCAAAAAACAATATAAACATTTTCAACGGCAGATGTTGACGCAGGCCGCCGACTTTACTGCGCTTGTGGCGTCAACTCTCGATAAGCGTAGCGAGCATAGAACGTCATTGGAGCGTAAATGTTTTCGACAGAAGTCTGTCTGGTTGGATGGAACTATAGTAATTTAGTCACCTTTAAAGGGGCGGTGCAACGATTTTCGGACTTTAACCGCAGGAAATAATCTGTAAAAAAATGAAACAAATGGAAGGTCAAAGTCTCTCTCAACTCTCACGCCGTCTTTGGAGTGACGTCTCGAGGGAAATGAGCTGGTTTCCCATCCCTCTTCAGACACTGCTTCCTCCACAACTGTGGACTCTTGAAGGCATCGCCACAGTCGCAACAAGCGACGGACACGCGAGTGTAGCAGCGGGGGGGTCTTGTTGACTTCTGCATGTCCTCCAGAGACGTGTCACCGTAGTTTCCTTCACCACCATGCGCGGCTGCAAATCGGCAAATAATACATTTTTTCTTTGAGATTACGCGGCGGAAGAGCAGTTTCTAGGGACGGCACATTTTTTGTCACTTGCGCCTAGATAAACAATATAAAAAATACAAACTGCAAATTCTTTCAAGATTAAAATGGTTGCACTACCCCTTCAAAGGCCGACCTACAGAATTGTCTTCCGCCGGGAAGAAAAGCGGTTCCCAGATCTCCATTCCCTTACCGCAGGATGGGTCTCTCTCTTTCTCGAAAGAGTTTTCTCTTTCGGCCTTTAAGAACAAACAAGCAGGTTTCGAAATGCTTGGTTGGAGTATTTCTTCTTTATTACTACACAATGTCATTGTATGCTCGCCGCATCCATTGGGAGATGGTACTTGGGACTGTTGTAACTCTCTCAACATTGTGCAGATATTATAAAAGAGAGCCAAAAATTTGCGAGGAATGTCCGCGAGTGTGTCCAACTTGAGAAGCGCAATGTTCTTCCGAACCCAGCCTGGCGTCCCGACCTTCTCCTGCCCGGCCACTCACCCCGAACATTGAGAATCCCAGCAGGGAGGGCAAGAAGGCCAGGCCCTTGACAGAGAGGGGGTACCCCAGGTAGCGAGAGTTCATCAGGATGTCGTCTTCCATCAGGCTCTCGTTGGTGCGGGGGTTGAGCACATTCTGCCGGTTCTCCAGCGTCCACAGTGTTCGGTTCCCTGAGAGGCGAGATACCCTGTACTGGATCTTGTCCCCCACCGGCGGTGGTATGGCAGCAAGTGTCTACCGCTTCCTGATTACCAAATGCAGCCCCTTAATTGTCTGCTTTTCATTTTTATGCTCGGTGAAACGCGACATGCTCATCTGGGTTACGGCATTGCCGACGAGAGTGCACTCCCTGGTTCTGCACACTAGGTTATACTGTGGCCTGTTCCAATGGAATATAGTGCAGGGGCAAACGTTGCCCCAGCCGGTTTGGTGGCGCTCCCTTCGAGGGCTCAGCTGGCCAGAGACTGTCGGGGACTCGGCAGAAGCGTTCTCGATAGGAGCAGACTCGCGAGAAAGAACCTCTCAGAATGGGCACACCAATCGGGCTGCTCGACGAATGCTCACCGGTAGCGAGCACCGCATAGCTGGCCACGGTGCGCACTTTGTTGTCTGTCCCCGTGTACTGTCCGTAGTCGGGGGGATAGTAGAAGATCTGGTTTTTCCACATGTTGAGGTCCAGCAACATCACTATGATGATGATGCCGTAGTTGAACCACTTGCCTGCAGTCGGAAGAATGTTTCAGCGCAGAAGTCCTCGCGATTGTTCGCCGCTACGCCGACAGGGCAGTCCAAGCTACTAGCTCGCCAGACAAATAGGTCGCCAGTCTTTCGTCGGCTGGCATCCTCCTCCACATGTATGCGCAGAGAGCTCGATCGCGTGGTTTGAGACCGACGGTTGTCCTACGAGCGCTTCCACTGCCCCGCCAGCTTAGTGGCGCACAAAGTGAACTAAGAGTCGCTGTAACTCACCGGTGATGTGGAACACTATCTCGGGCAAGTGAACATATTTCTGAAACATTCTGTACTTGAACGAGGCCGCGTGCATGCCTGGCAGTTTGATGTCCAAGTCACAGACGAAGTGTGGGAAGTCCCAGTCCTGTAAAGCGATGCACAGTCGCACACAATTCATTGTACAACGTGTAACGGTGGCTGAAGCCACCGAATAACGATGGGCTACGTACCGACATTCGTCCCTCTACTAACAAATGAGGGTGCCAGCACGGAGCGTAAAACAACGTGCAGCTACTGTACCATGCAGCTTCTTGGTGCATCCACATGAGCTTTATACATTACGCGACACTTATCGCGAATACATGGGTGCATTTTGCTAAAACGCAGTGCTGACAAACAAGAGGCGTTGCTGCCTGAGTAGGAGCTCCGGATGACCCCTCTTTCCTACACAAGGAGGAAAAGCCACTATCGTGCTAACCCTGCCGCACACTGTACGCTCCGAGCCTCCCTCCATTCGAAAATGCCATTTTTGACAGAGTCGGTAGCATTGAGCGTGAAGAGCTTTGCGTTTACAACTGAAAGGAAACCAAGTTTTTGCGCTTGGTACACATGCGAGCATATCTCAAGGGCAGACGAGTGTCTACAACAAACACCCATGGACTCGGTTGCCATTAACCCATCACCTCACTTGACTCTCAACTGCAACAAATTCCACCGAGTGCCATGCATTTGAGGATCTGTTAGTGAGGCTGGCAATGTTCACCTGCATCACGATCAGCAGGTCCATGACGAGTATGAAGGAAGCGAGGAAGGCTCTCGAGAGCTCGGTAGTGGCCACAAATTCCCGGTTGAGGTAGTCCCAGGAGATGTAGTCGCTCACAATGAGGCTGATGACCACGGTGGACAGGATGACCGTGCCGGACCAGAAGACGATGATGCGCGTTCTGCCGTGGCTCTGCCAGAAGGCACGCAGCGACCTGGCCCAGCTGGGGTACAGCTGGTCTTGCAGCATCATGTCTGTCACCTGTGCCCGGCGGGAAGGTATGCTGCAGGATGCTTAGGCGGTTGGCTGGGACTCCGCTATTGCGGCTGCATACTGGACAACTGGTACACCCTCTCTTCGTGCTACATTTCTCCTTTTTTTAAGGACACAAAGCCTGTTCTACTGAGATTCTTATTTCGCGGGTCGGGACATCTGTTGCATCGTATAATGGTTGCTTTGGCAACATTGGTAATACACAGCAGGGGTTCTCTCAAGCGATGCCTAGAATGATGGCAAAGCATTATTGCAACGAAGCGGTGCAGAGGCCTACGGGGATTGTGCTGAAACTGGAACATGTTTAGACATTCCAGAAAGAACTCTTGGGAACCCCGTGGTTACTCGAGTTGTAAGCCTATGGTCTATAGACCACACAGGCTATTTCCGAGCGTACGCACCATCACACTCTTTCGCCGTCCTACTTCCCTACTAAATCCACGCATTTCCTAGCCATTCGTCGACTACTGCATGGTTTTGTCGTGAGCCGAAGAAATCCTAATTTCTGGGTTGATTATGGGGCGTGGAAGTTACCATCCAGGCGGTGAGGAAGTCGCCAAGCCAGGTTCCGCAGGCGGCAAACTTCATGAAGTTGGCGTTGGTGATTCCCATGAGGGCGTTGATCCGGAACAGTTCTGGCTCCGGGTAGGCACTCATCAGGAAGAAGTTGTACACCAGGGAGAACATGTAGACAAAGATGACCATCGTCAGCAGCATGATCATCCAGGTGCCCTGTTCTTCGCGGAACATCTTGAGTCTGCACAGGTTTCCTGCATGGACGGATGGAGGCACTTGCTCTTCAGAATGAAATGATCCATGGATGGAAACCTGTATGGATACGGATATGGCCTGCCATTTACTGGAAACAACATGAAACAGACCAATGGGTCTCGCATCCAAAGTTTGCGGTGACAGAGCACCGTATATCGTGGAAGGACATTCCCAACGGCCATTAGTGTGCCACAAATGTTTATTTTGGAATACTAGGTATGTTAGGGGATATCTCTGTACCAGTCATCGCAAATGTCGGCTTCTGCAGTGGTGCCCCGCAAATCATCAGTTTCAATTGTTGAGATCAGCGAGGTTGTTGAACACTACGACACTTTCTGTGGAAAGCCGTACGAAGGCATCTATAGGAAAGTAAACAGTACTTGAACATCAAGAAAGGCAGGATGGTGTGACAGTTTCCCTATCAGGTAAACTTATTTCCTCATAGGGAGACTACATAGGGAATATATGTCCTGACTAGGGAAAACTCTACATTTGATGGCAGGGAAATGAACCATACTGTAAATTCAGAAAAAAAAAGTGGGATAATACAAACATCTCCCTCGAGGAGCCAACTTTTCGAGCATTCCTGGGCCCTTTCGCTATTATGGTCGGCAGTTTCTGAGCGCCCCAAAGCAGGGGGAGTACTCACGCAGCAGGAAGTGGTGTATGATGTACTTCCCGCAGACGAGCCCCCAGAAGAGCGCCACGAGCCAGAGGAGCACCTTGAGGCAGCGCCAGCCCCACTCGGGCGGGTACTTGGTGCACATGAAGGAGAAGACGTTGCCAAACACGGGGATCTCGCTCTCGGTGCGGCTGTGCGAGATGGGATCCTCCGCAAACACCAGGAAGTTGCAGAAGATCACAAAGTAAGAGACAAACAGCCGGGCGTACGGGTGCTGCAGGAAGTACCTGCGCAAAGGGTTTCAGTCATACTTCAAACAGCAGGGTGTGCAGGCAGTCTCGTCTTTACCAGCTTTCTAGAGCCATTTCTGCTTGTCCTCATGGCTATGGACGCCACAATTTTTGCATGTTTTCACAAAAGATGAAACGGCCTCTTCTTTTCCAGTTCAAGTATAGGGCCACTTTGAATCAAGGAACTCGGTTGCATCTTGCTTTTTATTTTAGTCATAATTTTCTTCACTTCCCTGCCTTTCAAACAAGCGGCTCCCCGTGTTTAACTCGAGGAATTTCGCAAAACTGTTCTCTGTTTCCTACCGACGAGAGCGAGGTAAGCTCGGCATTTCTGAACCTCAAAAACAGTAAATGTACCGATTTTAATGGAATGCAGGTGCAGCCAATAAAATATGTGCTTGACATTATCTCACCTTGTCTTACAGATATCTTTAATTTGTCCCTTTCGACTGGTGTTTTTCCTAAAGGTATGCAGATAGCTACGAGTCCAGAGACAAAAATATGATGTCCAACTACAGACCGATCTCAATATTCCCTGTTTTTTTCCAAGGGTTTAGAAAAAGTTATTCGTGTTAAGCTTAATAATTTTTGTGAAAAAAAAAAAATGCTACTTACAGATTCTCAGTATGGTTTTCGGAAAGGTCGCTCTACTGAACTGGCTCTTTTACAGCAAAAGGAAATTATTTTAAACAATTTTAAAAACAAGTGTCTAATTTTAGGAATATTGATTGATTTTTCTAAAGCCTTTGACTGGCTGAGTCATAAAATTCTTATGAAATTTGAGGGCATTCCCTGGCTCTCATAGAAAGCTACCTGAGTTTCTGGCATCAAAAAACTCTTGAAATAAATTAATATTCTTCAATGCTGAAGGCAGTTCGAGCAGGAGTACCTCAAGGTAGTGTCTTGGGGCCATTGCTGTTGAACCCATTTCTAAATGACATAGTTACTATCACAAGTAAGGCCTCATTTGCCATTGGTGCAGATGATACCAGTATATTTTTTTTTGAGGGAAAGACATTGATAGTATAATTACCGATGCAAATATATGCCTTGAAAAAATTAGTTGGTGGACTATTTCCAATTCTCTAATAATTGATGAAAGTAAAACAGATGCAATTATCTTCAAACCGAAAGGTACAGTGTGTAAGGCCACCACAAAATTAATGATGAATTCCTCGGAGGTAAAGTTGGTAACTACTGCTAAAGCATTAGGCGTGATTTTTCACGAACATATGTCATGGGACTCGCATGTTCAAACTCTTACTCTCAATAAACTTTCGAGCATCATAGGTATTCTATATAAGCATCGCTATATATTACCAGCTCGTGTAAAGCTTTTAATTTACAATGCATTATTTAATCTTCGTATATCATACTGTCATCTAGTTTGGGGAACTACGACAAGCACTAATGTTAATAAATTGTTTTTGCTGCGGAAAAAAGCAATTCGCATCGTAACTAATGAGTTGTATTGCGCACATACTGAACCTCTTTCCTGTAAAAGTAATGAAAATGAAAGAATATTTTAAATATAAGCTAGCAGCTATGTACATGGCATCACTTAAATTTCCTAATCATTCATTATGGCAAATTTCCAAATTAACTAAAAAAAATATTGCATACGATATGCGCAGTGCTGGAACCTTGAGACTACCACGTCCAAGAACTAATTACGGGCTTCAGATGATTCAGCACGCACTTCCAACAGTATTGAATTTTTTCAAAAAACAAGGTGTCTGCATTGAAAGTTTAAATAATAGATTGCGTGAAATATTATGCTCCTAATAACATACTTCTCGGTGTGGTGCATAAATGTTATTTTTCGTTTTGTTTCAAATGATGTAATTTTATCCCGCTGACCGATCTGCCTGTAGGGGCAGGGGCTTCGTCAAGCTGCAATTCTGCAGTTTTTTCTCCTGCCTACATCGCCCATTTTGTATTATGGGAGTAAATAAAATGAATTGAATTTTCTAATGGTACGCGTGGTTTATTTTCGTTAAAATTACTACGAAAGAATTTGCAGATCTGGTGCGTGCGTTCGTGCAATGCGAGCTTTTTCATGTGCCTCCTGAAAGCCTGCCCTCCCTAGAGAGAGAAAATAGATGTTGCGAGGAGTTTGTACGCAAGCGAGTGTCTGTATGTACAGATGCCACCCCCCTTCTCTCTCCACACTTTACTTCGGCCCGCTTAATTACAATTCCTTCCCCGTGAATTTCACGTCGCCCTGTTGGCTCTCCCACCCACCTGAAGTCCCTTTGCACGTAGAGGGAGAGCACGCTCTGGGTGTCCCCCTCGAGGTGGAAGTGGTGGCTGTCCCCCGGCACGTCGGCCAGGCTCAGGTCGGCCGAGGACATGTGGACGAGGAGCGGCCGCGGCTGGGGCCCCAGGCTGGCCTTGCGGGCCCCGGCCAGGCTGCACGGGGACGCCGGGCTCGAGCCCAGCGAGAGCTCTCCGTGGCCGGGGCACAGGGACAGGGAGCTCCTGCGGCAGATGCCCTGGCTGTAAAGGGAGGGGCCTCCTGTCTTTGCCGCCCTGGGGAGAAGGGCTATCCCCGCCTACCCCCACACTGTCCACAAACAAGCCCGCATTGAAACCGGACTCGCGCGAGAGGCAGCGTCCGCGCACATGCAGTACCGACAGCGCCGGCCTTGCTGCAGCCCGACGTCGCTGCAGTGCCCCCGCTGTCGGTGTCAGGTCGGTCACACTTTGATTTACTAGTTTCTTGATGGTGCTCATCAATACCTTCGCGATTGCTGTTGCGGAAAACAGTATGGAACCTTTGCCTAAGAAGGTTACTGTACCAGGTAGTGTTGACAAATTGCAGCGTGCCGGTAAGTTACAGAGATGAAAGGAAAGCGACATAAAGGACGAAGACGGGACAAAACATCCTTTAGTTGGAAAGATTTGCCCTTTCTGTCGGTTCTTTTTATGTACACATTGCAGAGCGCATTGGATAGAGTACAGATCACGCGGAATTTATCCCTGCCACTGTACCGGTAATGGCTTGTATGCATCGTATATAATATGAGGTATGAGAAACGGCGCCACTGGGGTGGCGCATGCGAGACGCACGGCAGCCCTGATGATGCTTCAAGCATAAAATGCAAGACGGTTACTTATAGTTACCGTAATACGATTTAGGGGTGTCTATTGTACTTGTTTTCACCTCAAGAACCATAGTAAAAAGGTTTGGCTCATCACGGACCATTACTAATTTCCCCCTTTATGTAGAGAATTAAGATATATATGTAGGTGCATCATCGGTTAGATATTTGTTATCTTGTCAAGAAGAAAACGCTTTAGACATCAAAAGCATCGCCTCTGCCCTCGACAACCAAATATTGCGAGAACTACTTCGCGCGGCGTTTGGACAATGCGCAAAACTTCTTTCTTCAGGTGAAAATGAGTATAGGTCAGTCACTCTTTCTGCACGTTGGACAGGTTACTGCTTGAAATGGAGTTACCTGGCACTTTCGTCGATGTAACGGATGTCATCCAGGTGCAGGTTGAGGTGGCTGTCCTCGCGGTATGTGAAGACGACCGGCCGCAGACGCCCCGAAGGGACGTCGGTCAGAGTAGGCCGCGAGCAACTGCCCTCCTCGGATGCGGGCACCAACCTGCGGGACACAATCCGCCCATAGGCATTTTTGGACATCGGAATCGGTGCCTGTCGCAGAACCATTGTTCGAGGGACCCTAGTCTAGGTCAACGATAATAATCCCTCGAGAAGGGGAACAAGGGGGACAAACACAAATCTTCAAACACAGCTAGGTGACTGGTGCGCGACTGAAAAAATTCGCCTGGTCCTGGTATTGAACCAGGGACCTCTCCATTTCCAGTGGAGCACTCTACCAACTGAGCTAACCAGGAGTTAGACGTCAGTAAAGCAAATGGGTTTTAACAGTTGTTACCAGCGGGGGTGAACGGCCTGCATGAGGTCTTCAGCAACCATTTGCAATGACCTTTCTCTCGAGTCTGTTAGGCGTTCCATTCTAAAACACATAGACAAATCGCCAGTCTGTGGATGGTCTATGGTGGAGGCCTCTAGGGCTATATTTCCAAGATGTCTACCAGAGATCTTGCAGACACCCTATAGGAATGCCTACATGTCCAAGTAAAGATGTCTTCAGGATGAGTACCCTGTCTCAAGGCAATAGCTTGTTCTGGTTGTTCCGAGACGTCTCTAAGTACTCGGAAGGTACGTGGCGGACAGGTGTACCCTTTTGTGAGGCATCCGCAGTCTGAGCAGAGGCTGCCTTTTCCCAGCTGTGCCTCCAGGTGCTCGATGGCCCTCTGGGTGGCCGCCGCCCAGGCCCCATCCTGTTCCGCCTGGTCCGCTTTGGTCTCGTAGCCTACAAGAAACGGCGAGCCAATGTAGCGGAGTGGGGCGGCGGAACAACGGTTCGCACTTACCCTTGTCGCCCGCTCGATCCGAGGGACCATCGGAGTCCGATGCTGTCGGCGGTCTTTCCATCCTACACATTGCTTGAGGTGTTTTGGGCCTTTGGTTGTGCGTGGGAGGTTGTTCAGCTGGGACTTATGCTGGCACTGTCACTGGCTCGGTTGGCTCTGGTTGCACGGCGCAGATACTGCATAGCCAGCTTCCTGCGTGGGTCAGGAAATAATGGCCAGTGCTGTCTTTCCGGAGGAACGCGGGGATCATGGCTGACCCCTTCAGTAAAACAGCTCCGCGCATGTTTTTGTTTCGTTTTCTTGACTGGAGCTTTGTATCTCATTTGAACTGATGAAATATGTGGCAGTCGGATCGTGCTGCTGGTTTTCGAGGCAACAAGTTGCAAGATTATTTTGGAAAGCTGTTCGCCAGTTTTGCTGAGATCATGATCTAACAAAAACGCTTTTTTGACTCGAAATCGGGTGTGTGTGTTTTGCACTAAACTAGAAAAAAAAAAAAAGTGTTTTTTTTTTTCGGTTTTTAATTACTTTGTTGAGTTTTAAAAGGATTACACCGTTACCCCCGCCGAACTTGTCCCTGAACTCTGTGTCACGTCAGAAATGGATAAAAAAGAAAAGGTAACATTCGTTTGACCCCGTTTAAGCATAAAACAGGTATTGCTCAAAACTCGAAGGGTTTCGCCCGTCAAGGAAGATGTTTGTTTCGTTTCACGCCGAAATTTTAAACGCGAACACTGACAGCGATAACTATGCTCCGAAGAGCGCACAGGAAGAAAAACTCACAGCGGCAAGTTGTCCCTGGAAAGTTCTCTCGCCGGCACAGCGCCATTGTAGTGCGGGAAAGTATGCTTCGTCGACTCGAAGGGGCAGAGTTCCTTGGCATTTCAGGTCGTTTGCCTGACGGCACGAAGTGGTACGCCAGCACGATAAGATATCGGCGATTGCAGATAAAGTCGTTTTAAGTAGCACCCGTTTAAGACCTGGGCGTTGAATATTTTTGACCGTAATGATAAGCTCGAGGGGGACGCAGGTGGTGATAGAGCAGAGGCAATTATGTGTTGCCTCGGCTAACCTCGACAATAAGGTGCTCGCCCTCAAAGGTCGTAGTTCCGTCATAATAATTAATGGTTTGAAAATAAAAAGAAAAAAAAAACGAATGATAGCGGCATTTGCTTACTAAGCTAAGCTTTCGTGCTTCGTGCCAGCAATTATTACTCCTTATTGTACGAAGTAACCAAAAATGACACGAAGGCACAGGTGGGCGGAAATACAATCTGCATGTTGCACACACTGAAAGTGCATTCGCGAGATTGCGGTTTCTAGCGAGAGATGGCGCTAGCTGTTCGCAGCCAGAATGCAGCCAGACTTGTAGCATCTTCGATCGACTCGCACCGGAATCGCCCTGAAACCTGGACAGTGCACACGCACTCCTCGGTCGAGTAGCACCAAGTCGGTGCAACATCGAAGACAAACTGCGCCGCGGCGGTGCACCGAGGCGAGCTCCACCATGCGTCACCTCGCATTTTGTTCGTTTTTTCCTGCTTAGGTCCGCGTGCGGGCGTGCGGTGCCCGTCTGCTGTCGATCCCTCTCTCGATTTTTATTTTTTATTTATTTATTTATTTTTTTTTTTATATATTTGCGGTTTTGGCGGTTTTACACGAAGGAACATCGTAGACGTGATTGTCGATGGCGTCACGAAGCGGGTGACAATCCCACAGGTATATGCTGCCCATCATTGGTGGTTCGAGGAAGAGAACCACCACTTAACGGCCGTACCTCGGTGTCATCGAAACACCTCGCAACGCTTTCCACGAAGTTCATACCTTTGGGGCGCTCATACCTTCTTTTTCTCATTTTTTTCCACTAAATTTAGTGGTTAAATTTCCTGCTAAATTTAGCCTGGAACTTTTCCCGCTAAATTTAGCAGAAAAATTTACCCGCTAAATTTAGCGGGAAAAATTTTCCCGTTAGATTTAGCGGGGAAACTTTCCCGCTAAATTTAGAGAATAAAATTTCCGCTAAATTTAGCGGGGATATTCACCCATAATGCAACGCGCGGTGACGTCATCATAGGAGACCTCCCATAATGCACCGCGCGGTTTCGTCGACGGCGACGCTTACGGTGACGCCGACGATGACGTTGCTCAAGCCGGAAACGGGCGCCTAAGTGCTGCGCTCTAAAACAAACGCTTCTCGAGAATCTGACTAATTGCAGGTAAAATTGAAAGAGGTCTAATTCTCAATGCTCTTGAAAGAACCGCCCTTATGTAATGGCTTAACTAGAGCAACTTTCAACTCATCCGGAATAAAGAATTGTCCAGAAATCCATTCGGCATAAACAGATTAATAGCGAGTTCGTTTCACGGCACTCGTGTCCACGCGTGCCCACTCGCGGCGTAAAACGAGTTCGTTTCGGCAGGCACTCCACGAGTAGTTGCACTCTCCAAGTTCGTTTCAGCGGCGGCACCCCACGCGTGCATGCACTCGCTGCACCGAGAAAATCGGGCGTGCGCCAAAATGCAATCCCGTCATGCCTCACTCCGGCGAAGGCGACGAGGAGCGGGAGCAGACGACGAGGGTTCGTCTGCTGCATGTGTCGCGGAACCGAAAGGAGAAAAAGTAGATTTTCTGATAGAAATCGCGTCCCGCGGGCAACAGAATCAAAAGCGAGCTTGAATTGTGAGCGTCTGCTATTTCATGAAAGAAGCAATTGACAACCCGTACTTTATTTGCAGGTTTTAAGTCGCTCTGTTGCCGTACAGACGCTGAACAATACAGTGTGTCAAGAAAAGCTCAGAACAAATGCACCAGCGGCCCCCAGATGTTTATCAACATCCGTGTGTGGGTGAAAAATTGAACATTTGTCGACAAAACTCTCTCAGCAGAAACATCTGACTGGCAAATAAGCAACAGAGAAAGCAAAACAAAGTGACTTTACCCGAGGCTTCGGCAACATCATCATGTTTAACATTTACCTACGTCAGCTAACTTGCCCCGTCGTATTTTGTTCGAGAAAGCTCTCGTTCTTGACATCCTCACCAAGGCTAATTAATATCTGATCCATTTGTAATGACGATTGAAATCGAAAGTCTCACGAAAAGTTTTGCTGGATATTCCGACAGACTAGTTTTAAGCCGTACCCTTTCAGTGGTTCACGCATAATACCATGCTCAAACGGATCAAGCTTCTGCTCGGACAGCATCATCAGTTTTCTTCAGTGTAAACGGTTATAAGAATTGAAAGATCGCAACCAGCTGCTTTGTAGACAGCTGGGTACGGAAATTTACGCCGTCTTCTGTAACTATCCCTACGACAGCTGACAGCCGAGTTGCTTGAAGTCATCGCAACTATAAACTACAGGTTGCAGCGTTCAACGTTTGTAGATAAACGTTAGTAGTGACTGCACTCTCGCATTCTTACCCATCACTCCGAACAGAAAGGCGCTCGTTTCGGTTTGAGCTCGGTACCTTTTCTACAACACAGATGGCGGCAGCATCAGTCTTTTGCACTCGGTGCATTGGGCGAGTTCGTTTGAGTCCAGTTTTCCGTGCAACACTCTGCGAGTGCGATGCATTCTGGGAGAAAACTCGAACGGTGTCAGTGCGTGTGAAACGAACTCGCTATAACATTCTGTAGTACCGAAAAATTACGTTGAAGTTCGTGCGTACAAATATTGTCTACAGGTGCTTTATTGGATTTTAGACCAAACAAGATGTAAAGATCACTAACAGTGATAGAGGAAAGTAAAGCTGACGCCAGTGTCATTAATTGTTTGAAAAGCTTCTGTTATAGCGAGATCGTTTCACGGCACTCGTGCCCACGCGTGCCCACTCGCAGCGTGGAACGGGTTCGTTTCGGCCGGCGCTCCACGAGTGGTTGCACTCTCCGAGTTCGTTTCAGCGCTGACACCCCACGCGTGCTTGCACTCGCTGCACTCGCTGCACCGATAAATCGGGAGTGCGCCAAAATGCAATCCCGTCATGCCTCGCTCCGGCGGGGCCGGCGAGGAGCGGGAGCAGACGACGAGGGTTCGTCTGCTACGATGTGTCGCGGAACCGAACGGAAAAAAAAAAAAAGTAGATTTTCTGATAGAAATCGCGTCCCGCGGGCCACGAAATCAAACGCGAGCTTGAATTGTGAGCGTCTGCTATTTCCCGAAGAAAGCAATTGACAACCCGTGATTTATTTGCAGGTTTTAAATCGCTCTGTTGCCGTACACACGCTGAAATATACCGGTGTGTAAAGGAATGCTCAGAACAAACGTAACAGCGGCCCCCGAGACATATATCACCATTGGTGTGCGGGTGAAAATTTTAACATTTGTCGGTAAAACTCCCCCAGCAGAAACTTCTGACTGCAATAAGCATCAGAGAAAGCTAAAGATGGTGACTTTACCCGAGGATTGGGCAACATCATCATGTTTAACATTTACCTACGCAGCTAACTTGCCCCGTCGTATTTTGTTCGAGAAAGCTCTCGTTCTCGACGCCCTCGCCAAGGCTAATATCTAATCCACCTATAATGACGATCCAAATCGAAAGTCCCAGTTTTGCTGGATATTCCAACAGGCTAGTCGTACCCTTTCAGTGGTTCACGCATAATACCATGCTCAAACGGATCAAGCTTCTGCTCGGACAGCATCATCAGTTTTCTTCAGTGTAAACGGTTATAAGGATTGAAAGATCGCAACCAGCTGCTTTGTAGACAGCTGGTTGCGGAAAGTTACGCCGTCTGCAACTATCTCTACGGCAGCCGAGCTGCTTGAAGATATCGCAATTATAAACTGCAGGTTGCAGTTGCCAACGTTTTGTAGATAAACGTTGGTAGCGACTGCATTCTCGCATTCCCACGCATCACTCGGAACAGAAAGGCGCTAGTTTCGATTTGAAGTCGGTACCTTTTCTACAACATAGATGGCGGCAGCATCAGTCTTCTGCACTAGGGAGGCTGTTCTGCACTCGGTGCATTTGGCGAGTTCGTTTGAGTCCAGTTTTCCGTCCAACACTCTGTGAGTGCGATGCATACTGGGAGAGAACTCGAACGGTGCCAGTGCGTGTGAAACGAACTCGCCATGAAATAACACATGCAAAGGAAAAAAAAAAACATTTTTTTTTATACAGCTTAGATGGAAAGAGAATGTCATAAAACGATTTTACAACGAAGAAAAAAAATTTAGAGCCATATTTACGGCGCTATACGAATTTGTAGTTGGCGCCCACGGGAATCGCCGCTGGTCACGTGGTAGGCCCGCGCGCCGCCGCGCTGCGTCGCCGCCGCCGCAAAGCCACGCTGCCGCCGCACGCTGAGCGTTGTGCGAACACAAGCGTACGCGTTTCTCCACGCCGCCGTCGCCGCCGCCGCCGCACAAGTTCGTCTGCTTCGGGCGCCGCCGCCGTCGTCTGACCGGCGCACTGATCTATCACGTCTGCTAGCGCTTTTTCAGGAGTTTCCTTTGGGCTCTGAAAATTACCTATTAATATTAGTTTTTTTTTTTTTTTGTTATACTTCAAACAAAGGTGAATACTCTACTTTTAGACGCGATAGGAAGTTTCCGAAAGAGCGCAAGCACCACGTGATAAATAAGGGCCAGTCACGTGATAAATGAGGGCAACTTTTCCGCGGCGCCGGCGGGCGCTAACTACAAATTCGTATAGCGTCGCAAATATGGCTCTAACCTTTTTTTCTTTGATGTAGTATTGTTTTATGACATCCGTTTTCCATCTGAGGTGGTTAAAAAAGATGTTTTTTTTTTCTTTGCATGTGTCCTTTAAAGGGATACTTCAACGAAATTTGAAATATTCCCGTCGTGTTCAAAAATAGGTTGAATATGATCAACAATATCCGTAAATGACAATCGCACGTTTGTATTTTGAGCCTGCAGTGGTGGCTGTATTTTTCGTTATAAACGCCCCACTCAGGCAAGCGCTCGGAGGAGGCCCAGCGGAGACCACGTGACATCCAACGCAATCGTGACGTAGGTCGTCTCAGGACGAGCAAAGCTACGGCGAGGCTGACGTCGAGGGGATGGCCTAGTCGTTCCAGCCACCGAAGCGGCTGCTTT